AAGTGGAAAAGCAGAAACATAGAAGCTGCTGCCAGAGGGAAAACAAGCTGGGAAAATGAAAAACAAGCCCCTGGTGTAGGCAGAAAGCAGGGACGAGGGAGCAAGCTGGGTGAGCCTCGGGGCTCGCAGGGAGGGGTTGTGGCAAGGCCCCCCCGTGTTCGCCTGCCCGGGCACCCATTTGCTGCCAGAGCACCCGTGGCGGGGACGGTGCGTGGGAGGACAGCGCCCGCCTGCGTGCCCAGCTGGCCATGCCCAGCACGGCCACTGTAAGACGCCAGTCAAAGCTGCATTTGCTTTGGGAACTGTGTTGAAAACAGCTTCTTTCCATCTGCTTAATAAAAGTACTTTTATGATAAGAAAATTAACTTTCCTTTCCAAAGTCAATGCCACTGCGGCAACATCCCCTCAAGCCAGAAGCCCCAGGTGCCCCTCCACTGACCCCCACCCTCTTGTTCCTGCAGTAGGTGACGGACGGGCACCATGTCCTCAGGGTACAATTAGCATCCTGGCCAAGATGCTTTTATTCCATTGCATCCCTGCTGGGCACAGACCCAGCGCCGGGTCTCCAAGCCCCTCAAACCCCACAGGTCTGGGAAGCATCGTCCCTGCCGGGACTTGGTTCATCAGAGCTGAACCACGCGGGCAGCACGCTTCATAGCGGGCGCAATCTAAAGCTTCGGCTTCATGGATCACATCTGGACCGAGGCTTTGCCGGGTCGCGGTGCCGGGCAGGGCGGAGGTGCCCCAGCTCGGGGGGAAGCGGCTGCACCCCGGAGCTGCACGGCTGCGCTCTGCAAGCGCCACGCTCCTGTCAATAGTGGGCAAACATACAGAATCAAGACCTTCAGTTTTAAGGAAACATTTTAAAGCCTGCCTACTCACATTGCTGCCCTACCACACAGGCAAAACGATTTCACAAACCCTGTGGATAACCATGGGCAGGTCTTCCACCAGTGCTGCAAGTTAACGGCTCCAGCTTTGCTCTGGCTTACGAATGCAAACTGAACGGGGTGGTGGCTTGAATGAGCACGCCAGGCTGCGAGCTGGGGGGCAGAGCCGCAGGCACCCCCCGCCACCCCCAAGGACTCCGGTTTCTAGTGCGGAGGTGGGACAGTGATCTCTGAAACAGCCCAAAGGTGATGCTGCGGGAGGAACCCCTGCGCTCGGGCACTGGGACACAGCCCGGTTTTCCAAAGGCAGCAGCCATTGGATCAGGACATGTATTATTCAACGCTCAGAGAGAAACGGAGAGGCCAGACTGCAGGCGTTTGGCCACAGCTCTCAGACACAGCTGGCGTTCGAGGTGTTTTAGCGGCTCTGGGTCTCAGAGGAGGCTGCGTGAGCACTTGCTGCCGTCAGACTCCCGCTCCCAGCCGTCTCGGGGCAGGGGACAGCACCAGCACTGAGAACCAGCAGAGACCCCACAGAGCACCTGCATGGAGACACTCCTCTATATTTAGCAGAGCCTCATGCTAAAGATAAATTTTTGAGCACTTTAGAAATCCCCTACTTATTATTTTAAGAAAAAAACCTGCTAAATTAATAACACTGAGAGAATACCAATCTATGCCTTGTGTTTACTTTTGGTCGCTCGTTCACCTTGCACAGCGAGGTCTGCCTCTTCTCCGGCCCTTTGCTACGGCATTCAGCCAGGCTCCACCAGAGAAACAGCCCCAGCCCTGCAACCAGCCCTGCGGGTCACCAAATCCACACTCCTCCCATTCTGAGCAGCTCCTTTAAACACTGTGATAAATCCACTGTGCTCCAAGCTAAAAGCAATTTGGCTTTTTTAAATTTTAGCCTGCCTTGTTCCTGTTAGCAGCACTTGAACCTCACAGCTCCGCTCCTCCCAGCTTCCCAGCCTCGCCTCCTGCCCTGCAGCTCGTCAGTATAATTATACTTAAGATCCAAAACTCTTGTAGACATCCTTTCATCTTACACCTCCTTTCAAAGTATTCGAGCACGACTCACTGCCCAACGAAGCGCCAATTAACTTGCTGCCGTCACCCCTTGACGTTCTCCTCCCTCGGTTTGGGGCAGTGCCACCCCCTCCCCGAGGTCACCCTGCCCGAAGGGACGCGTGAGCCCTCCCAGAGCCAGGGGCTCGCCCCGGGAATGGAGCACGCACCCATCCACACCCTTGCAAAACTCCTCCGTTAATAGGGGACATCTGCTGCTGCTGGCAGAGGCCACGCAATCCCCACGAGCTTTTCTGTCCCCCGGACAAAGAAGGGAAAGAATTTGCAGCCCGGACTTGGCCCGTGGAGCCATAGTTAATCAAACCCTGCGTGTTTTCACTCCTGCCCATCTGAAGGCAGAAGGGAAGGAAGGCAGAAGACGATGGGGTTTAATTCCCGTCTGAATGCTGTTGCATCTCTCAGACGCCGGTTTGCAGGGGGCAGTTTGCAGATGCAGTTTGCAGATGCTCATCTTTGCGTGTACACCTGTGACAGCAGCACACGTCACCCCGAGGGTCCCGAGCCCTTAACCACCCACTCGAAGGGGTTATCCCAGAAATGCGGCCACCTCTGCGCTGGAACCAGCAGCTGCTGAGAGCTCACGGCTCCACTTCATGCACATTTACAGCGCAAGGGATGAAAGAAAACTCTGTATTTTGCTTGCTGGATGGATACAAGTGTACCTTAGTCTGCGAGACAAAACTGAAAGTGCATTGGAAGGCGCTGTTACACAGTACCGAAAGGC